TTTTGTAAGATTCACTACTACTAAAAAAATTAGTACTGTAGAGGAACACCATCAAATGTGCTTTGAGTAGTGGCTGCTCATATTTCAGGCATTTACAAGACCATCAAGATGGTCAAAACAAAGATTCATGTATCCATGAACGCTTGTCAAATTTATGCAATTTTGTACATGAATGGGTATCTTTAAGAGTGGCTTTCTCGACAAAAGGCAACACTCGGTAGAAGGTGAGGGCCCCTCTATTAGACTAATGGGCACGTGGTGGCCTTCTATTCGTTAGCGTTTGCGGAGAGCATGCTCTCGGCAAAGATATGTGAGTAGCTCAGACTTCATATGAATAATCAACCGAAAGAATAGGTGAGTAGCCGAGACTTCATATAAAGAGCAATCATGTAATAGTGTTTTAACCATCGTGTCAAATCTTTTCTTTCCCCCTTTTTACCAGTAAAAACCAACGTGCTACCTTTTGGGCTAAACTGTCATGGTGTTCTGTGTATTCATGCATTTTCTGTTTTTATCATGGATGTATCTTCGTTTCTGATTTTTTGTTTTGGACGGCTCAAACACCTTGTTTAATACTTCCTTCGCCCGGACTAACTGTTGTTGAAACGAGTGTATTTAGATACACTCATTACAACGAGAGTTAGTTCTGGACGGAGCTTGTATTTACAAGCCTTCTTTGCCAACTGTTCATCACACAAACTGCATTTTAATTTATTTATTTTGGGTAATAGCACATATTACATTTCTGTACAACTATAGATGTTTAATATATTGTGCGTATAAACTAGCACATATCACATTTCTTTGCAACTATAGACTAGCACATATCACATTTCTTTGCAATTATAGATGTTTGACATAATGCGCGTTAGTCTATACGTGCGTTGCACGTGCAAGCTTACTAGTTGGGAAGAAAAATATGGGGCATTTTATCAACTAACTCGCTTCCCGGCCATCAGCTAACTGCAAGAAAAATCTTGTTGATAAGAAAAGAAATTGTACTAATTTTTGTCGTCTTGAGGTTTTATCACTTCTCTTTAGTATTAAATAAAAACAAGTCGATTTGGACAAAGCTCCATTTCATGATTGTCGTGCATTAATAGTTGAATGTTTCTTTTGACACAATCTGAGATATGTTAAGGATACATAGATGTTTCAAGAATTGATAATAGAGTAAGTAAAAGGCATTTAAATTGACACATTAAATTTTTGCTCAAGTAGTATGGTTTTATCATTCTATATCTCGCCAATGCCTTGGTACAGAATTTAGCTCCTAAACACCCGCCAATGATAAAAACTCGAAAAATTTGGCCGATAAATCAAGTTCTCATGCGTCACTTGAGTATAAGGGGCTTGAATTGTGCTATACTTTGTTGGTTTATAGTGGTCGATGGCCTCTAGCGAGAGATACGCCTTAAACAACGATGAATCCATGTTATAGCTTGGTGCACCTTTTGACTTGGCCAGATGCGGCTCATCACAAGTCAATCATTTATGAAATGATCTCAAGAGCCCCTTTGGATTCCCAGGTCTTAGGGATGCATTTATTGAAATATTTGAAAGGCGTGCCTCTCTGATGCCAATGGACTGATAGAGCGATAGAGGCTAGGGCAACCTTTTCCCATCGTGTCCCTCCTTGTGTGTCAAAGATACAAAGCGAGTGCACTGGGAAAGGAGGGTAATGTAAGGCTCTTCCTGGACCTTATCTCAGCCATGAATCCATTCATCATGAACCTCTGAAACGCGAAAAACATCACAAGGAACATTGCAGAAAGTGCTCCCAAAACAACTAAGTCTTGGTGATTACTTAGGGTACATTGGTTCTAACTTAATCCCAGGCTACTAGTGGTACCGCCGGTGGAACTCTTGGAGATGCTATTCAACCTTATGTTATGTAGAATGTCACAACTAAATAAGCCAATGAAGTATGAGAATGACTATGGATCCAAAATTTCCATTATGTTTAAACCAAGCTTATGACTCTACATGCATACTCTAGCATTTGGTGTTGTTAATTGAAGATCCTAGTGGAAGTTGATTATTAATAATATATTTTTTACTTATTTATAGACAATCTTTGAATCAAATTTTGGAAGTAGTTTATATCATACATGTTTAATATAATATTAATTGATATTATTCCCAATTTGAACTATGATCATTCATCACGCCGTGTCAATTTGTATGTATTCTTAAAATCGTTACATACATATACATCATGCTAAAGTAGAATTCCATTTTGTTGTGAAAAAAGTTTATTATTTTAAATTTTAGTATGGAAAATTTGTCGAAGTAATTTTTTTTAATGTAGGCAAAGCATATATATGACATAATAACATTCATCTACAGAAAGACCGTGTGCCACTTAAATGAGTTAAGATGTGTTTGTGTCCCTTTTAGTATCCCTCTAGGAAGAGGAGGTAGTCTCTGTTGGACTCACGCGACCTGGTCACGTGGCCAGGGCTTAGGTTATGTGGACCAACTGTCTAGGGGAACCCTAGGTCTCCAAGGACTTTTTTGTTTTATTCTATTTGGTTCAGAAACATGCTTTTCTCTATGAATTCTCCATTCTCCATTTCCAATAGTTTCTCAGCTCCCTCCCGATGCAAGACTACAATAAAATAAAAAGTACAGATTGAACATGGAAAATGTGATTGAATACGCATAATAATTGAGAAATTTGGCCTTTGATGTCAAATGCACATATCGGGGCCCTGGCAGGGCGGAGTGGCAAAGATAGGCGGCAACTAGATTAGTTTGTGAGAGGGCACACTCGCTTGGTTTTTTGCTGCAGGTGGCATGATGTTGGTTTGTGTCATGGCGGGCATGCCAACGACCATGGTTACTGCATGATTGGCATGGCTCGGCCATGCCGATCATGTTTGGCTTACTGTGCATGCTACCTCGGCTCACCATTTCGACAAACTTGCATTCCTAAGCCAATTAAAATGATAGAAAAGGGATGATAAAGAATTTTGGCAACTTCCTTACTTCTTGGACTTTGAGATCCCTAGGGGTTATGATCATTATGTAAAGAAATTAGATGATTTGTAGATGTGGAAATAAAGTTTTGGTTATTTCTTAGATTTAGGGCAGAATCTCGTTGGATTTAACATTTTGTAGAAATATTTTCGCTGTGGAGTTCCAAGTTTTTCTGGATCTTGGCTTTTTATAGGTATTGGAAGCTCCATGACTTTTTTTTTGAAATTTCCAAGCAATGCAAAGTAGTTGTTTTGTAAAGGTGGAATAAGTGAGAATAATTTTAATAGGAAAATGAATTGTTTTTCTATCCTTGTATGTGGTTGCATGGAAGTGGGGTGGATAAATATATAATAGCATGGGCTAGTCTTGGATCAAAGGTTCTTCAAGAACACCACTTGGTCCAAAGTTTGGAATAACCCAAATAAAATCCAAATGCCAGATTTAAATGCCACATAAAATCATAAAAGCAGAATAAAACATAAAAAGCCAAATGAGCAAATTTGAGGGTGTTAGCTATCGCCTGATAGTCATTGCCGATAGTCTATTTTCATTGTCAATGCCAAGACCCACCGATAACAAGCCCCTATTGGCCCGTCAGTGGTAACCGAGATCATACAAGAAGCTAAGAGGAATATAATTATGAGGGTTTCATGGAAATCAAGATAATGGGCTGTTCGAGTATCTGACCCAAAACAATGAACCTTGAGAACAAATCCCCCAAAAGCAGATTATTGAAATCCCTCAAAAAAAGCAAATGATTGCGGAGGACTGATTAAAACATTGTTGCACTAATTATACATAGTGCTCGGACTAGCCTTAAAGAAGGCATGCAATTCTGGTTAGATGCCTTGTGATTGCTCTGATCCGCTCCTGTGCACATATCCCATTTGATATAATATAAAATGGCGAGTAGGGGTCTTCCTACTGTTTTTCGCTGTGGTGACCGATCAGCTATAAATACATCTCGCCATGATATGTTCTGTGGTGGTGGATGCACCGACCAGAGGTGATTAATGCCTGAGATACATCTCGCCATGATACCTACCAGCTGCATGCATACACGTTGTTTTCATCCCGAATTAGTATATGGGCAAATGGTAGACCATACGCATATGCATGCACCGACTTGAGATCGTGGTGGAAGATGACCGGGGGCCGGGTACGCGTGATGGACCTGATAGTGATATGTGAAGCCGAATTAATCAAAGACAGTGTCTTCTAAACCAAGGTCTTGTACATCATACTCCACTGATTATAACATCTTATTAGTTCATGCAGCATGGGGCAGCATGGAGTATCAAGGATTGCCAGCATATACACAGTAGTTAAGCAACTCTCATCGTTGACTCTATTAATGCATCCATCGAACCAACTACCAGCGCTAAACCTCCCACACATTTACTACAAATTTTCAGATTTTGTGCCCGAGCATTAACTAATAAACACAGAGGATTCATGGCTGCTGCATGCATGCCACCGAGGGAAACTTCTCACTATATAAATGGAGCTACCGCCATGTCCATGCAGCATATATACACCCAAAGTAGAAGCATCTCCCCACACCACTGATAGCAATGTCGATTATGTTCTCGCAAGAGCTGCTCATCTCCACACTGGCCATCATTCTTGTTCCCCTCTACACGTTGTACCTCAGGTCTAGTAGATCAAAGAACCCATCAGTGCTCCCCACAAACTGGCCAATAGTGGGCGTGTTACCTTACCTTATCGCCAACTTCCACAACCTGCACGACTACCTCGCCGCCGTCCTCGCCGAAGCAGGCCACAACTTCAGGGCGCACGGCCCACCGGGGACCGGGATGCGGTTCTTCCTCACCTGCGACCCGGCCAACGTCCGGCACATCTTCACGACGAACCACACCAACTTCCCCAAGGGTGCGGAGTTCGCCGCCATCTTTGACATCGCCGGTGGCAGCTTCTTCACGACTGAAGGCGAGCCCTGGCGTCGGCAGCGCGCAAGAGCTTAGAGAGTCTTGAGCAACCCACGGTTGCTTGCCGGTATGACCGGTTCCTGCCGTGACAAGGTAGAGAACGGCCTCCTGCCGGTGCTTATGCACATGGCGAGCACCGCGACCCCGTTCGACCTGCAAGATTTGACAACGAGGCTCGTGTTCGACATGACCGCCGCGCCTCTCTTCAGCGTGGACCCTGGCCTCCTCTCCCCGAACATGCCCCCCATGGACGCAGCGGCCGCCATGGACACGGTCATGGAGGTCGCCTTGTTCCGGCACACCGTGCCGGCCTCTTGCTGGAAGGCGATGAGGCGGCTAAACATCGGCCCGGAAAGGAAGCTCGCCGCAGCGCACACGGTTCTAGGTGGGTTCATTGAGGAGATGATGGAGAAGAGGAAGAAGAAGGAACATGTTGCAAACGAGGGAGATCCTTCTTCCGTGGACATTCTGTCTTCCTACATCGACGATCCAGACTACCAGCAGAACGATGGCTTGCTCCATGCGACGCTCATCAACTACACGATCGCCGGGAGGGACATGATCGGCACAGCTTTGACATGGGTCTTCTACAACCTCGCCCAAAACCCTCATGTCATGTCGGCCATCCGCAACGAACTATCACCTATTGCATCACGGAAAGCAGCCACAGGCGCCAACAACAGCAGCACCATGGTGATCTTTGAACCGGAGGAGACCAAATCTCTCGTCTACATGAGAGCCGCCCTACACGAGTCTCTCAGGTTGCACCCGCCGGTCCCCATCGAGCGTAAGACGGCGGTCGCCGACGACGTGATGCCGAGTGGCCATGTGGTGCACGCCGGTGACACCTTACTGATTTCTCTCCACTTCATGGGGAGAATGGAAGGCGTGTGGGGGAAAGACTGCCGGGAGTATAACCCGGATAGATGGCTCTCAGAGGATGGCAAGAAGCTGCGGTACGTGCCGTCTCACAAATTTTTGGCATTCAGCTCGGGCCCGAGGCTGTGCCTTGGCAAGGACGTCTCATTCATGCAGATGAATACTATTGTTGCGGCAATGGTGTGGAACTTTGATGTGGAGGTTGTGGAAGGGCAGAGAGTCCAGCCGAAGATGTCTTGTGTGCTGCAGATGAAAAATGGACTCATGGTGAAGTTGAAGAAGCGAGATATGTAACCTTTTGTCTCTTTTTCTTATCTGCAATTGTATCTTGCGTGAGTCTTTCAGGGTTTGGGACCTCAGAGTATTTGTATGTGTACTGTTATATGATTTTTGTGTGTTATATGATTTTTGTGTATCTAGCCTTTGGGCTCTGTGTGAGCCTTGTCGTTTGTTTTTTTTTAGTTTGCTACTACTGAGACTTCGAGACCTTGTGGATGTTTTATTTTTAATAAGATGGCCGTATGCATCGTGCTGATGCAGAGGCCGGGGATCCCCCCTTTTCAAAAAAAAATATGATTTTTGTGTGTATATGTTTTGCTATATGAGTACAAATAAAAGTTGATATGTATATATAGACCCTGGGTATCATATACTCCCTCTGTCCCAAAATAAGTGAAAGGCCTACAACTTATTACTTATATAACCTAAAGTTTGTTGACTTATCGCCTGCATGCAGTGGCGAATCTAGAATGCAAATGGAGGGTAGGCTTAACTTCAAATACACTATTTTTTGTTGGAGGTAGTGCAGCGTGATGCAATAAGATGGCTGGAAGTTGCTATTTTCTTGGCTAGGCCTAACTAGTGCGCTTGTAGTAATTTTTTTTTTGTGATTTTTGAGGATAGGCTTGAGCCTGTTAAAGCCTGTTGAGTAGAATCACCAGTGCCTGCATGTGAGATACTTCCTCCGTTCTTAGATATTAGTCTTTTTTGATATTTTAATATAGACTACATATGAAGCAAAATGAGTAAATCTATACTCTGAACTATCCAGATCTCTCCTTCCCCGCACCATCCAGATCTCTCCTCCCGCCGGCGCCTCGCTCACTCCGCCCGCACCATCCAGATCTCTCCTCCCCCTCCTCCCCTTCTCAAGTCTTTTGCGGCGGCGGTGATGGGTGACCGGCGGGCCGACAAGCGACCGATGGAGATCTCGGACCACAAGGTGGATCGGCGCTGTGAGCGCGAGCTGAGGGACAAAGCGAAGAGGTCGATGCGCGAGCGCTCGGGCGGCCGCGAGGCCCGGGAGGAGCGCGACGGGATCCATGACCAGGGAGTGTGCGAGGGGGATTGGGGTCCTGCTCCTCCTTGGTGGATCCAACTATAAGAGCGCAAAAGGAAGAAGAAGGCCAGTCAACGGCGCAGGGAGCTCAAAAGGAAGCCGATGGAGCACCCACACTGTGGTGGGGCCACGGTGACCCGCTGGCCAAGAAGCCTCGGGCGCTCGCGGAGCCTCGGGCGCTTTCTTCATCGTCCAAGGGCACGGCGGAGGAGCCCATCCCGGTGGAGGAGGCCCCTGACGTCGAGTGCTTCAAGTGTGGGCGCTTGGGCCACTTCCAATCCAAGTGCAAGTTCAAGCCGCTATGCGTTCTCTGTAAGGAAGAGGGACACGCTTCCGCTCACTGTCCGTCGCGTGGCCGCCAACCTCACCTGCAGATCATGGGCAATGCCATCTCGGGGGAAGGTTTTTTATGCCTTGAGTTCGATGAGGATGCCGACACCGACATGCCCGTGGATACTAGAATTGAGAACGCGGCTATACTATCTGCGGAGCCAGGGAAGCTCAACCTCTGCATCCTCAAGCAAGAGCTGTAGCACATGGTGACTGGGGATTGGGATTGGCAAGTTACTCAAGTAGGTGACAACGATTTCATGGTGGTGTTCCCGTCTGCTGATCTGCTGCATATGGCCAAGTCTAGTGGGAAGCTGTTTCTGTCCATCAACGATATCACTACAAGGGGTGCGGGATATGCTTCACGAGGAGGTGCAGCCGATGGCCATGCCCGAGACTTGGGTGCAGTTGCACGGCATACCTAAGAAGCACAGGCGCGAGGACTGGATCAAGGAAGGGTTCCGGATGCTGGGCCGACAAACTGTGGTCGACGAGCTTTCCCTCATCAGGTTGGGGCCTGTGAGGACGAAGTTAGCTTGCAAGGACCCAGATAAGCTCAATGGGTTCATGGAAGTATAGTTCAATCACGAGGGGTACCAGATCAAGGTCAAGCGTGAGGTGCTGCCCAAGCGGGGAGGCAAGATGGCGGTGCACGGGTTCGGGCCCTCCAAGCCCCCGCCCAATGATTCAGACTTGGCTGGGGAAGCGCGGCCACCGGGAAGTTCTAGGCCTGGCGGTGCCGACCTTGGCAAAGCACAGTAGGGCGATGGTGGGGCTCCTAGCGCGATAGCTGATCCGGACACCAAGATGCAAGACATGGGAGATGACCAAGAGGACAGCCTTCAAGATACGTCCATCGACACGGAAACCTTGGACAAGTTGGGTGTGCTGCCGGCCGATGCTGGGGCCATTGGGGGTGGCGACCCAGGACACGGCGGTGAGTGTGCCGCCACTGGCCCGCTCCCTCGAGCTGTCCTTTGACAAGTACGGGTCCAACATCACGTCCTCGACCCCAGCGTTGGCTGGAATACATGGGGTGGTAGGGCTCCCCCTGCTGCACACTTGCCTTCCTCTCCTCTTGTGGCTTTGGGAACGGACTCCAGATGTGTGGTGAATGATGGCTGTGACATGATGCCCGTGCCCAGGCGTGGCTCCAGCAGCTCCGGACGACAGCCCAAGAAGACGGCAGGCAGGAAGCCAGCTAGCAAGCAGGCAACGCCCAATACGGCGGCGACGGCGATGCTCGGTGGTGACTTGGGGGCGGTGCTGGGAGCGGCCGGAGTGGGCAGCAAGGCTTGGCGTTCCAAGGCAACTCCGGTGGTGCAGAGGGCACCTAGCGTGCGGGCCAAGGCCAAGCTGGGGGAGCTGTCCTCCATGGAGAGCGCCAAGCTTCGCCTCGCAGACAAGAATCTGGAATCCACAGGTAATCCATTTCCCTCGTACCTTATTTTGAATGCTTTCTCAGATGAACACCTTGCTAGTATATTAGATGATAGCGGCGTGGCAATCAGTGCTCCTAATGTTGATATCATCTCGCTTGTGCGCGCGTGGGAAGCGGCGCAAGCCGCGCTTGTCGCGGCGGCTGCCCACTGCGCATATAGGAACATGTTGGCCATCGTACCAGTAGAGGCTAGTTGCGATGATGGGCCCGTTGAGGAGACAGAAGCTAGGGACGCTTCTGATCTTCCTTCTTCCAGCCGGGTTCCGGCTCGGAAGCGAGTGGCGAAAGCGGTGACCTCCAGGGGAGTTCACCTTCGTAATAGAATTATTTAGATGCATTACATGTTTTGGAACATCCGTGGTTGTTGCGACGGAGGTCGCCGTACTCAGGTCAAGGAGTACATGGCCCAAGAATGGATTGATGTAGTCGCGCTCCAAGAAACGATTAAATGAATCTTTCATTCAGAGAGCTCCTCGCTTACGACCCTCTGCAGCATTTTGATTGGCATTGGGTGCCCTCTGTGGGTCACTCGGGCGGTATTTTGATGGGTTGTAATCGTGATGTGTGTGATGTAATGAAATGGGAGGTTGATGTATTTTCTCTTGCTGCTAACATTAAACATTGTGCCTCGGGTCTGTCGTGAGTTGTCGTGTGCGTCTACGGGCCTGCTTATCACTCCCGATCGGCAGCGTTCCTGCTCGAACTTACCAATTTGGTCGGGGCCAAACGGGCTATCAACATGTC